AACAAGACCACAAAATATTACATTAAAATTAAAATGACAGTTACACCTCACAAATACCAAAGTGGCAAAAATCAAAATCTGAGAACCTATCCTAATAGAGAATTCCAGGGGAAAAACATACATTGACATATTGTTAGTGGAATGTAAACTGTTACTATATTTTGGAAAACAATCTACAAAACATCTCAAAAGATACACACTTTGTTTGACCCATGGATCCAACTTTTAGATATTTGATCTATAGAAACAAAAATATGTATACAAGGATATTTACTGCAGCAACATTTGCAGAGGCAAGAAATGTAAACAATAAACACCATTACTAGAGTGTTAAGCAGACTGAGCTATGTTCACATCATGGAGTATTAGCGTCGTGCAACCATCAAAATATATGTTAAATGCATATAAATTGTCTTGACTGCATTTTCACAATCTATTGTTAGGTAAGAAATGTAGACATGAAGAATAAATGGATGGGGCCTCCCTGGTGGCACAAAGGGTTAAGCACAGTACTGTGAAGCTATCAGCAGCCTCTGCAGCACGAGTTCGCTCCCTGGCCGGCCAGGGAGCTACCCACATGGCACAGCAGACCTCTCCTGACTCGCTCACAGCTCTCCTTGGCAATATATTTCAGTCAGTCTGCCTGTTCTGCTCCCCACTCTGTCTCTGGTGAATCCTCTCAACCCCTGCACCTCTGGTCTGTACCCCAGTTCTTGTATGCATAAATAAATCTTTAAAAAAAATGGATGAACCCATTTTTGTAAAGTAAATGAGAGTAATGTATACATAGATATTTACATCATTACAGAAACATGGAGCAATGCAGGAAGGATACACACACCAGTCTGTAACACCAACTACCCAGGAAGGAGGGGGCAAACCTGAGTGTTTCAGTCACAGGAAATTGAACCAAATTAGAGATCTATAAAACAAGAGGCCTTTAAAAATCACATGTATGAAGTTAATTCATTTATATGTATATATCCATAAAGAAATATATGAAATTAACCTCACAAAATATTAAGGGCTATTTAAGAGTAATGGCTTTTCAAATGACAGTATTACATTTTTCTTCTTTTTTTAAAAAGATTTATTTATTTATTTATACAAGCACTGGGTACAGTCAGAAGTGTGGGAGGGTGAGAGGATTCACCAGAGCCAGAGCGGGGAACAGAACAGGCAAACTGACAAAATACACTACTGAGGGGAGCAGCGGGCATGGCAGGAGAGGTCTGCGCACCATGTGGGACCCTCACCAGCGGCAGGGGATGGAACTGGCGCTGCAGAGGCTGCGGGCAGCTTCGCAGCCCAGCGCTCAACCACTGTGCCACCGGGGAGGCCCTACATTTTTCTTCCTTATATAAATAAACATCAACATGCTGAGCTTGATATACAAAGTGTACTATAAATAAGAACATAAAATACACAGCATACATTTGGTTATGAGAAAAAAAATTCAACTCAAACTGGTATAAACAATAGAGAGATTTATTGATTCATGTAAGTGAAAAATTCAAAAGATCTCACTTCAGGTCCCATTTGGTCCAGACATTCCAGAATACATCAGGGCACCAATTCTGATTCCTCTCATTTTCTTAGGTCTGCCTGCAGGCTGGCTCCTTCATATTAGAAAACTTAGCTGCATCAAGTTTCTCAACATGAAGCCTCACGCCATAATGTCTTCAAGAACATGTCTTCTTCCACAGTTCCCGAGGAAACATCAGCAAACATCTTGCATCTAAGTAAACTGATCTGGGTCTGGTGCCTATTCCTGAACCATATATCTGGGTGAAGGGGGAAGAATGGCGCTGATTAAAAGTAATGGGGTGAACTCTAGAACTGGGAGTGCGACAATCTCATAGAAACCACATGCATGGTAACAGGGGTAGCTGTCCAAAGAAAAAGTGGGTCATATTGGGAGAAAAGGAATTGGACGTCGGTTGGGCAACACACATATGTGAACAAGGAATTAAATACAAATATCCAATAAAATACTAAAAGTGCTCATACTCACTTGTAATCATTAAAATAGAAATGAAGTTATGTAATTTACTGCTAACCAGGTTCATAAGAAGAAACACTGTGTATGTAAGGGAGATGGTGAGGGGGCAGGCCTTAGAATAGGAGCTCACGCTACTGGAAATGTGTGTGCAACAGCTTTCCCTAAGACATTTAAACAGACTATATCAATCAAAAAATTACTGATTTTTAAATATGGAACAAATAGTAACATTTAAAGTTACAAATAGCAATATTTAAAATCTTAGAAGTTGACTACATTTTCCCCCATAACCTCATAATGTTCCCATTTTGAAAAAAAGTCGGAGAGATCACTGGGTGAATCCATATTTAGTTCCAAGTTTTGACTTAGCAAATCTACTTTCTATTCTCCTCTTTCAATAGTCCTAGACAAAATCCAGGGTGTAGTCTATGGTTGATTAACTTTGGCAGAGTTGGAGTCAGAACTAGTAAAATATCTCATGAAAACTGATAAAATGCTTTTCCCCCTATGTCTAACTAGGGGAAATACATGAATAAAAAAAACTTAAGTATTACTGGTGAAATGGACAGCACAATATCAAAGAATAATGCTTGAATACTGAGAAGACCTATAATCTACAGTACCTAGTTATCATCCCAAGCCACTTTAAAATCAGTTTCACAAATATACACCCAAATTGTATTTAAAGATATTGTGGCAATGAGATCTGTACCATCCCACAGGCAGAACAGTACTATTTTAAGAATTCTCTTATGCAAAGTCCCACACTTAGTATAGAATCATGCATAGTTCTTGAGTAATAGGAAAACCAAGTACAATTCTATTGAATGCAATTAGAAAGCCAACACCAAGTGTGAATTTCTAGATGACAATTAAGTCGTTAAAAATGAAAACCTCGGGCCTCCCCTGGTGGCGCAGCGGGTTGAGTGGCGTGCTGTGAAGCTGTCCACAGCCTCTGCAGTGTAGGTTTGATCCCGGCTGGCCGGCGAGAATCCCACATGGTGCAGCAGACCTCTCCTGTCTTGCCCGCTGCTCCCCTCAGCAGTGTACTGTCATCTGCCTGTTCTGCTCCCTGCTCTGTCTCTGGTGAATCCTCTCACCCTCCCATGCCTCTGGCCTGTACCCCAGTTCTTGTAAAAAAAATAAATAAATCTTAAAAAAAGAAAAAAGAAAACCTCCCCCAAATTTTAATTTTGGGCAAAAACATTGTTCCTAGATTTAATTTCTTTTATGTCCAATTACAAATAGGAAATTAAAGTGCCATAAGTCCCCATGACTTAGTCTTTTTCTAAGTCAGGGGTTTTCATTCCACCATGCAAAGGTGGAATTACTCTAGTATTACTCTATAATCAAAAATTATTAAATATTTCTAGTAGACCTAATAAAAGAATGATACACAGGCAAAATCCCTTAAGCATGCCTTAAAACAAAAAGAAACTAGTTATAGCAAAAGAAATGAGTTAATAGCATTAAGTCAGAAGTGAAAAAGACCAAAAAAAAAAAAAAAAGAAAATGCCTTGACTGGAATCCATCTCCATCACTGGTTAGCTATATGATGTTAGGGAAGTTATCTATACCTGTTTGACAATCCTGATCTTGAAAATGGGTCAAACAGGAGTACCACACAATCTCTATGGCTGTTGTGAGGTTAAATGATAATCTAGCACTTAGAAAAGCACCTGACACCACAGCAGCTTTCAATAAAAGATAACTATTACTTGTAACAGAAATTAGTTATTTGCTTAGCTCTATGTCAGTACTCCTAGAACTCAAACACTATATTCTAATTGTTCCAATTTGAACCATCTAGTAGACTTTTTTTTTTTTGAAAGGCTATCCTTGCCTCATGGCCTTTTTTTTCTTTCTTTCTTTTTTTTTAAAGATTTATTTATTTATTTATACAAGCACTGAATACAGTCAGAAGCGCGGGAGGGTGAGAGAATTCACTAGAGCCAGAGCGGAGAGCAGAACAGGCAGACTGACTGAACAGGCAGAAATACACTGCTGAGGGGAGCAGTGGGCTCGGCAGGAGAGGTCTTTCGCACCATGTGGGATCCTCGTCGGGGGCCGGGATCAAACCAGCGTTGCAGAGGCTGCAGGCAGCTTCGCAGCCCAGTGCTCAACCACTGCGCCACCAGGGGAGGCCCCATCTAGTAGACTTCCTACCTCAAGTGATTTGGAAAAGAAGGAACAAAATCCTGTTATTTCACTGACTAATATTAGATGTTACAACTATTTCAGTTATGAAATAATAAGCTTGCAACAAAATAGTAGAGTGAAAGTCATATAATTTGAATAACTCTATATTTAGATGTTCCTCAACTGATGAGAGTAATAAAGAAAATGGATATAGTTCCTGCACAAATACATCTATGGAAAGCAGGCTATATTTATTCAAAAACTATAAAAGGTTACAATATAAATGAAACAAAATTAGTTTTTAAAAGTTAAGTGACTCATGTGTCCAAATTCTGACCCAAATTAAGACAACAATCCAATGAACAGATTAGAATATAGTGTGTCTTATCAATACACACTATATAAATTTACAAGTCTGAAGTTTCAGTGTAACACAAGCTGTAAGTACATCTGTCAGCTACCTTCTCCAACATTAAAGTAGTAAATGGTTTATATTTAATAAAAACATACAGAGTGTAGAAAACCTTTAATCACATGTAATGGAGATTGCCATGGTGAACCAAGTAGAGTGCAAGGTTTTCTTATGGAGGATGAACATTTCAGAGAGAACCCAGCTCAAAGTTCATCCATTATCACTTGTCTTGTAAAGGTGACCCATAAAAATATTTATCATTTGTAATTATAACACAGAAAACAAACTTCCCAGAAATTAATATCAATATCTTACTAAAGGGTAGTATAGTGACCAGTCTGAAAGGACAAGTTACTTATTTGGAGGTTTAAAATAGCAAAGATCAACGTAAATTAAATAACATCAGTGAAAAAACAATGTACAATAGCAAGAGGTTAGAAAACTGAATACTGTGGAAAAGATTTATTAGATCTGTACAAGTTGGGTTTTTAGATACTCTATTGACTACTTGTTACAGTAAATTACCGAGATTTTCATTGCAATGGTATTTCCCCCCAACATCAAAATCTGGAAGCAATATGCTTTTCTTAAGCTGTCATTTAGTGTTTGCTTTTTTTTTTTTTGCCCAACCTTCAAAACACAGAAATAGGTTTTAAATATCAACTAGCCATTATGGAAGTCATAAGATACAGATACTGATAAACATTACACAAGCTATAATTGATGTACCTGGACAAACCCACCAGCATTTATGGAAAAAAGGTGTTGCTTTTAAAAGTGGTAAGGACCATATGAGTTACATAAACACACTACTTGTGTCCTGAAACCAAAATGGGGAAAAATCTTATTGCTATTCTGTCAAACACCACAAAACTAAAAATGCTGCACAAAAGGTCAGGTGTCAACACACATATCACAGAAATAAAACTCTCATTAAGCAACTGACCTACTCACTGAATAAAAAAAAAAAAGACCAAACTTCTTTAACATATCAATGCTACTTTAGAAGTATCATCAGAACAAGTAGAGATTTAATTATAAATTGGACTGGACTATTGACTTAAAGAATTTTGCTTAGTACTAAAAGAGAATCTGTCAGCAAACATCCTAGAAAAGCTGTGGAAATCATACTGTTATTCCTGAAAGGAAATTTGCCATGTTTGATGATACCTCTCTCTCCCCCAGAGGCTCCAGGAGTTCTACATATCAATTAATTCAGTAATTGATAGGAGTAGTTAAGTAAAAAGGAGACCGAAATATACTTTGTATCAACAGAGACTGGATAGGTGGATTTTTTTCATCACATGATAAATGTAAATCATAAAATCAAATGTACTGGTAAAGGTACACCTATTTTATGTTACACGAAAAACTGTAGACTGCAAACTGTGCATGCTCACCATAACATTGTACCTGGGAAAGCCGATGAGGGGGCTTTTTTGCAAATGTTTACTGCCATGATACAAAACAAATTATGTGCAAACTGCAAGGTTCCTAAGATAGCAGTTAGAGTTTATATACAGAAAGATGTCACTATCTGATTAATATGCAAGAGATGGAGTTTCCCAGAGTTTATAACACAGAACAATAACCACCACAGGCTCCTCCTCCGTGGCCTTCTTCTCTGTGTGACAGTTTGACTCCTTTATTCTGGTTCTCACTTTCCCACAGTCCTGGTGTCTGAATGATCTTTTCAACAAGTTCTTCAAAGGCACACTGTACACCATCACAGGTTTTTGCACTTGCCTCTGAAATTCAAGGAAACATGTGATAGTACATTCTTTTCTGACCATATTCCTGCTTTTCTGGGAAACTACTATGGCCAAAAAAAAAAAAAAAAAAATCAGTTGACAATACATAAAAAGACAAATCAGCAATTTTGCCCCATAGGTTTAACAGCAGTGATTTCCCCCCAACTCTCAAAGTTGAGCTTATATACCAGCTTATATACCAATCTTCTGGTATATAAGCTTGAGACTATAATAGTAAATGATAAAGTCTTAATCAAATATTACGCCAAAGTTCTTTCCTTAATATTCCAGTTAATTCTTAAAACTAGTCCCCTGAAGCAGATATTATGCCCATTTTAAATATGGAAGTTTAGGCCCCAAGAAAAACAATCTGGCAATAACATGTATCCAAGCAGCTGCAGGTTGCTGAAAAAATGACACACAGTCATGGACAAGGGTCCCAGTTTAAATTTATGCTCATGAAACTCAGGTGTACATTTAGCACCTCTCCCCAAGCCTAAATTTCCCTAGTGATACTCTTATCACTGTCTGAGGTGACATTTTATTCCTTTGTCTTAAAACTCCTTTTTCTCAACTGGTAATCTAGCTTTTTGTTAAGAAAAAACAGAAACAATCTGGCAGAACTACTGATCATCCACTAACAGTTGTAGCACCTACCTGCATCTATAGCCTTCTGTTATAATGGAAGAACTATCTCTGTTCTAAGGCCATTTTCTTTTCTAGTACCTGGGATCCTATCTTTTCTCATTCACTGAAGGATCATTCTCTATTGGATCATACCCATCAGCCTAAAAGTCTACCAAAATCATGATCTATCTTATTAACTGACCAACTAACCAACCAATTTGCCCTCCAGCCCAAGTATCCTTCTAGCAGTCACCCATTTTCTCTACCTCTTTCAAAGAAAAATTGCTTCAGAGTTATCCATATAGTTTGTCTCCACTTATCTCAAATTCTTTCTTCAAATTATTCTAATTAGGTTTTTGTTCCCACCACTCCATTTAAACTATTCTTTTAAAGACCATCAACATTCTCTATCTTGTCAAATTCAATGTCCTTATCTGATCTGACATCCCACAGCATCTGATACAGCTGATCACTTACCTTTTGTATACACTTTGTTCATACCTGACTTCTGGACACTAAACACTAATTCTTCCTCTCACTGGCATGTCATTCGCAGCTTCACCTACAGCTTTGTTTGCTGGTACCTCTTCTTTCTTCTGATTTAATTGTTGGAAGTACCGTAGAGTTCAATCTATAGTCCTTTTCTATCAAGTTTTTCCCATAGTGATGATGGCCTCAATCCAATGACCTTAAATGTCATCTAAATGCTAAAGACCAGCATACCACGAGTTATCTGAGAGTTGGCTTATTCTTATAGCTAAGCAGAATGGTTGATTCCTCAGTTACCTCCAAAACCAGTTCTGAGTCTTCCACACCTCAGTTAAGGGTGGAACAATCTATTTAGGTGCTTATGCCAAAAACCCAGAGTTGTCTTTGATTATTCTCGTACCTTCCCTTCTACACCCAATCGATCAGCACAGGATATCAGCTGTACCTTCAAAGTATCACCTGGATCTGTCAACATTGTATAACCCACTACTGCTAACGTAGTCAAAGCCACAAGCATCACATCTGGACCATATTATGAGAATCATTCTTCTCTTTTTCTTTCTGCTTGTTATGTTCCATTTCTACACAAATGGGTCTTTTTAAAAGAACATCAGTTCAAAAGAACATCGTATCACAACACTACTCCCTTGCTTCCGACCGCATTTAGAATAAAAGCATTTTCTTTACCATATCCTATGAGATCCAAAATGATCTGCTTAAAGCTCATCTCCCGTCACCACCCCTTCCCCCAGTACACAATATACTCCAGCCCACAAGCTTTCTTCCTGTTTCCTGAAGACACTAAAACTGGCTTCTACCTCAGACAGTATTTGCCACTCTCTCAGCTACTCCCCCTTTAGATCTTCCGGTGATGGATTCCTGCCCAAATGGCAGTCTAATAGCTCCCACTCAAGTCGTTCTCTCTCCCCTAAGAAGGTTTTATTTCTGTCACAGCACTACTTACTTACATAAGTCTGTTAAATTCTACATACTAGAATTTAAACTCATGAGGAGTTAAATTAGTCTGCTTTGTTCATTGTTATATCCTCAATATTCAATAAGTATTTATTGAGTAAACTGATGTATAGACATAAAGGACATTCAGCAACTAAGCTTACTGTTACCATTACTAGGTAGTTTTTCAACTCCTTTCTGAAATTCCTTATACCTTCCACTTATACAACCCTGCTTTTATTTATATATGCATGATGTTCTCCTATTTCCATTTCCTGATTCTTAATTAGTTCTAACACTGAAATAGCTAAATCATTAATTTCTAATGTTAAAATTGTCAGAATCGATGACACTAGTTTTTTATAAACTGCCTTCCAGGCCCTGAGAGGTCCAGGGATGTATAATTTTAAAGAGCTCCCCAGGTAATTTCGATATAGCCAGTCCATTTTTCTAAATGATGGGATAGCAAAATGTTGTTGGTAAAAGGTCAGGCAGCTTAGGCTTTGAAAGCCATGTGGTTTCTGTTAAAACAAATGAACACACCTGAACTCTGTCATGAAGCAAGCACAAAAGCAGCAATAGCAATATGCAGATGACTGGGTATGGCTGTGTTCCAATGGAAGTGGTGGGTCAAACCTGACCCATGCTGTGGTATGCCAACCATGCTCTACCACGCTTCTTAAATATTAATGTGCATACAAATCAAATAAAGATCTTGTTAAAAATGTATTCTGACTTAGAAAATCTGGATTATGGCCCAAGATGAAGCATTCATTTCTAACAAACTCCTAAGTTGTACAATGCTGCCAGCACCCGGATCAACGAGGTACAAGTTCAGCACAGGGCGCCCAGCCTACTGAATGCCATTATATTCTAGAGGGATTCCACTGTGTTCTACAGGACATCACATAATATGATCTTTTTTCCTCATAGAAGAAAAAAAATAAAGAACTGTTTCTAAAGTCAGATTTTATAGCATGAGACAACTATAAACTAAATACCTATTTTTATGGTTCATAAAGAGAAACATTAACAAACTCCATTTAAAAATTTGTTATTAACAATGAAAGCATAAATATTCACACACTTACCTATAAATAACATGGAATGCTTCCGTGCAAATTTCAGGCCTTCATTTCTGTCAACTTCACGATTTTCCTAAAAGATAAATGCAAAGATTAAGAAAGGCTACCAAAATAGAAAGCCCAAATGCCAAGCATCTGACTTCTCACCTTGTCAATTTTATTTCCAACTAGCATGTTTACTATGTCATTTCTCGTGCAATATGTTTCCAATTCGCTTAGCCAATTATCCAGTTTAACAAAGGTGTCCCTTCTTGTCACATCATAAACTGAAATCAAAAGAGTCATTTACTTAATAAACATTCAAAATAAAAAGTAATGACATTTTATTTCTCATACATAACTAGGGGTTAATGTTACCATATAGGCAAGTCTACTGAAAAACCCTTCAACACTTAACAATGAGTGTCTACTGATCCTGATAGACAAAACTGACCTCCAAAATAAAAATAACACACACATACATTTACATATATATATATATATATATATACACACATGCACACATATTTAATTTTATTAACACAATGTGAAAAAATTATATCCTACAAGATCAGTGAAAATTAATTTAAGCAAACAAAACAACAGCTGGGCCTATTTGTAACAATAAGAGGTTTGTCCAAAAACCGAAGCGTTTAGGTCCAAACCTGTGGCAAAAGAGCAAATATTAATTAAAAGATCTATTGATTTATTTCTTACAAGGACCCTGTTGATTTGTTTCTTACAAGGATCAAAATTTGCAGCTTTGAAAAAATATGTAGAGTTAGTGGATGGGTATTAGTTGACTTCCTCTATTATCAACTGCATTATAATACAGGGCTTCTTCTTATAATGTTTTCTAAACTTTTAACATTTTGAAACTCGTCTCATAAATAAGTCATAATATAAGAAAAGCATTCTTCCTATAATTGATCAATATTCATTTTATACAGCTACCCAAGAATTATTAAGACAAGCACTTTTCAACAATTTAGAAAGACATTTTAAAACTTGAAATATGCATTAGTACTAAGTGACTATAACCTAATGTTACATAAAATAAAAAAAAACAAAAATAAAAGTGTACTAACCTTCATAGACAATGAAAATCAAAAATTCCAGTAATTTTTTTTTTAAAGCAAGTATATTAAAGTAAAAATTTACCTAATATAACACCTTGTGCACCTCTGTAATAGCTGGGAGTTAATGTTCTGAACCGCTCTTGACCAGCAGTATCCTAAAAATGACAATCAATTACTATTAAATAATGAAAGTATAACTACTAATACTTCAGCATATTAAGAGTAGAAAATAAAAATAGCATGATTAAAAATAAGTTCACTTAAAACTTGAAATTTATATAAGATGTGTTTTCTTACAAGCATTATATAAAACACAATAAATACTGAATCATTAAATAAAGGCTTTCTACTTTTGGGGGTTTAAAAGTATTATCACACATGAAACCCACTTCACTGAAAGGCCATGGTTCTCAACTCTGGCTGCACCCAGGGGAAAGGAAACTGAAACATCCCCTGGGTCCAACCCCTAGAAGATTCTGATTTAACTGGTCTAGAGTCTGACAGATGTTTTTAAAATCTTTATAGGTGATGTTAACCTGGAATCAGGGTTGAAAACCACTGATTTAAAGAGAATTACAGGATTGTCTTCTTTTAGGTCAGGGATTTTTAGGTGGGACTGAAAATTAATAAGTTTCTGACTCACTTTGGGGTGATCAACATAAAATGTACACTAGCTAGGAAATTTAAATTTCTTACGGAAGTGACTTCATCTACTTAATCACCAGTTTAAGTGTAATGCCCAAAACAATTCTTGCTAATGGAGAGCTGCTAAACTTTCGTTGGAAAAAAAGTGAATAATCTATTAATGAGTCTCTGCTTCTGGTAGCTCCTTCTGTCTTCTTTCTATAGTCCTATGGCGGGTTCAAGATACCTAAAATTATTCAAAGCAGTAGTTGGCAATCTGCTACCACAGCCACACACTTGTTTTATGTAAGCGTTTATTAAATAAAGTTTTATTAGAATCAGCCAGGCCCATTCACATGGTCCACTTTAACACTAGACTAAATATTTACTATCCAGTCTTTTAAGAAAAAGTATGCAGTGTGCTAATGTAAAGTAACCTGAAGAAAAGTAAACTTACACTTTTCAACTTAACTATGAGTCCCATGGCTACAAAAGTGGCTACAAGGCAAGCAGAAAGTATAACCCCCCAGAAAGTTCTAAAAGATTAGAGAGGAATTTTAAAGTAGCACTGAAGGTCTCTAAGCAATATGTTGTTTTCTTTGTACACCCACTACTCTTCCACAAATACATTAATGCAGAATGTCCTTGCTTCCAGATCCTCACCACAACAAAAAGTATCCCTACCCACACCATGCTGATGTGGAAAAACATCAAAATTAAAATTTCTAAATAGATAAATTCATGAAGTAACAAAATGCTTTATAAGCATTTTTTGTCTCAAAGTTTCCTATAAGACCTCTGATAAATAAACTTATTCAATTTGCATATTTATTATTGAACTTTTCAAAAACAATAATATATATTAAAAGCCACATAAAGTGACATGAACTTGCTATCTAAAGCAAATTTAAAAAAAAAGTAAATCATAACTTTGGTAATCTGATAAAGGTTAAGGCAAAGATCAAGCATGAAATGTTTTCATCAACGACAGTATTATAACAAGATTTTTGGTAATAATGTGGAAGTCATTCTACTTGCATAATGAAAATATCCATACTTTAATAAATTAATTCCCAGAAGTAACAGACAACCTTTGAATATAAATTGTCTCGTTTGATTTTCACTGAGATCAACTTCAACAATAGCCTTGATGAAACTCAATATAAAAATCAGAATTCCAGTTGAATTATGCATAAAACCCCAATGTTTTCAGAGAAAGACTACAGCAAAAAACTGCTTCAATGGCAAAATATTACTGCACATGATTTTGACAGTTTACAAGTAAATATTTAACTAAGCCAAATGTTTAATCTTGACATTCTTAGATTTCACTTTGGGCAAAACAGCCTGTGCCACAGTATTAATTAAATTAGGATTTGTAACAAGTAACAAATTTATATGCTCAGTCAGAAGTTAGTTATGTTTGTGTTTGTTTTCAAAACAGGAATATGCAGGGCCTCCCTGGTGGTGCAAGAAGTTAAGATGCAGCACCATGAAGCAATCTGCAGTTTGATCCCAGGCCAGGGAGCTACCCACATGGTGCAGCAGAACTATCCTGACTTGCCCGCTGCTCCTCTCAGCAGTGTATTTCAGTCAATCCTCCTGTTCTGTTCCCCACTGTCTCTGATGAATCCTCTCACCCACTCCCACCTCTGGCCTATACCCCAGTTCTTATATGCATAAATAAATAAATAAATAAACAAACAAATAAATCTAAAAAAAAAAAAGGAATATGCAAAGAGTATAATGACATCTTTGTTAAAAGAAACAGAACTTTTAATTTTCTTTCTGCGGTTTTATTTTTTGGCAGGAAAAGAGAAAATAAATTCTTGATAGAGAAGTAAAAAAGAGCTGGAAGGGATCTAGAAATGGGAGTGAAGTACATGACAAAGGGAAGGAACAAAATCTTGTTCCTTACAGGTGTCAAGTAGGTCATGATGTATATGCAGCACTTTCAAGAGGCAGTGGGACAAGGCTATGCGTGATTACTATATCTGATTCCTACACAAAGTTTCCAAGCAGGAGATAACTGACTTTATATTTAGACCAGAATTGGAGGATTCATATGGATTCATATACTTCTAACACTGAGAAAAGCTTCTGACACCCAGATGCCATGAAGAAGATAACTGATTTGATCACATAAATACCAAAGCTTTGGTGTGGCAAACATCTAGATCCCCACCCCTAAACAAGAGGTGAATGTAAATAACAAATGGAAAAAAAAGATCTGTAACATGACAGTTAATATTTCTCTCTCTCACACACACACACTCCATTAATATATATTCATCTTAAATAAGATTTTTTTAAAAAGATTTATTTATTTACACAAGAACTGGGGTATAAGCCAGAAGCGCGGGAGGGTGAGAAAATTCACCAGAGACAGAGTGGGGAACAGAACAGGCAGGACAGAAAACACTGCTGAGGGGAGCAGCGGGTGAGACAGAAGAGGTCTGCTGCACCATGTGGGTATCTCCCTGCCCGGCCTGAATCGAACCCATGCTGCTGAGGCTGTGGACAGCCTCACAGCGCTGCTCTCAACCTGCCACACCGCCACCAGGGAGGCCCTTAAATAAGATTTTAAAGACAGTGCCTCCCCTCATGGTGCAGCGGTTGAGCGCTGGGTTGCGAAGCTGCCCGCAGCCTCTGCAGCGCCAGTTCGATCCCCGGCCACTGGCGAGGGTCCCACATGGCACGCAGACCTCTCCTGACATGCCCGCTGCTCCCCTCAGCAATGTATTTTGTCAGTCTGCCTGTTCTGTTCCCCACTGCAGCTCTGGTGAATCCTCTCACCCTCCTGCGCTTCTGACTGTACCCAGTGCTTGTATAAATAAATAAATAAATCTTAAAAAAATTTTAAAAGATGAATGAAAGAGCAGGAAAACACAGAATGACAAAAAGTTAATATTTTTATTATGTAAGGATTTAATCATGAAAAAGATATGTATTTCTTTAGAATGAGCAAAATGTATTAAAAGATTCATTTAAAATATAGTCAATACATTAGAGAAAAACCTCACAAATCAAAAAGAAAGCAAATACAAGTAAAAAACTATTATTCAGAAAGCCAAAGAAATATTGGCAATATACAGACACACACAGTATGTATCTATGTGCACGTCTATGTATTTTGTCAATATTTCTCATCAACAAAAAGCCAATTTATACACATATGTATACACCTTAAAATAACTGGACAGGGCCTCCCCTGGTGGCGCAGCGGGTGAGCGCTGGGCTGCGAAGCTGCCTGCAGCCTCTGCAGTGCCGTTCAATTCCCGGCTGCCAGGCGAGGGTCCCACATGGCCCGACAGACCTATCCTGCCTCGCCTGCTGCTCTCCTGAGCAGTGTATTTCATCACTCTGCCTGTTCTGTTCCCTGCTCTGGCTCTGGTAAATTCTCCCACCCTCCCGCGCTTCTGACTGTACCCAGTGCTTGTGTAAATAAATAAATAAATCTTTAAAAAAAAAAATAACTGGACACACACAGCTGTACACATTAGGACTCAGCAGAGCACTAGTACTAATAGTAATGTAAATAGCTTTCACTCAGTCTGACTAAATTAGAAGATGGAAACCTGGTGGCGATTTAAACTGATACACATCTATAATCATATAATCACAAAAAAGTAGTGTTAGGTGTATGTAAAGGAAGTGGGGAAGACAAGTGAAAAGTTTCCAAAAAAACTACATATACATATATGTGTAACAGTACGCATGTGCCTGGATATTTTAATGGATATTTACTGAAAGGTATACACTGGTTAAAGATGAACTTTCTCCTACTAAACTAATTTCTTACTGTTTCCATTATCCTTTTGAGAACGAGCCTGTTATCATCCTTATAGTCAGAGGGAACTTTACAGGCCTATGATAAAGATATTACTTCATAATATCTGCTGGTCTTTTTATTATACAGTAACTAGAAATTAAACTAAAAACAAAAACCCCTCGTTTGCAAGCTCTAATCTGTATTATTTCACAAAGCAGTATCAACAGCACAAACATGTGACACAATCATGAATGAAAGTATATGGAAAATCAGGGACCTGCTTTAGTACACAAGGCAGGCAGCATTCTTAAACTGTTCACTATACTTTACGATGGCCTAATCCAACATTGTCCGGTATTTTCTGTTAGCCTTTACTGACTGATTTTCATAATACATGTGGAAATTGATATATAAAATAGCAAATTTTAAAAACAACATGATACATATCAATATATCAGTAATCATATTTAGACAGAAGAGAGCGAGTGAGGGTGGAAAGAGGGAGTGGGAGGAAGAAGAGAGGGAGGGTGACAGACACAAACACTGATCATCTTGGGTATTTTTCAGTTAGTGCCACCTGACTGAGAACTAGCAGAAAGAGGTCTAGTTAGAATAGCAATGTGGATCACAATGGTTGAGCTCACAGGAAAATGAGGAGATCTACGCGAAGACTAGACACCAGTTTTATTTTTATTTTTTATTTTTAAAGATTTATTTATTTATTTATACAAGCACTGGGTACAGTCAGAAGAGCGGGAGGGTGAGAGGATTCACCAAGCCAGAGCAGGGAGCAGAGCAGGCAGAAGGACCGAGGTACACTGCTGAGGGGAGCAGCGGGCGGCAGGAGAGGTCTGCACGCCATGTGGGACCCTCACCCAGTGGCTGGGGAGCAGCTGGGGATTGAACTGGTGCTGCAGAGGCTGCAGGCAGCTTCGCAAACCAGCACTCAACCACTGCGCCACCGGGGAGGCCCAAGACACCAGTTTTAAATATAAATTCAAAGCCAGCAAACCCATTTTATATCTAACAAACATGAAAAATAATTTTTTTCCTAAGTATCTCTACATTCACCTTCTCCCAAACAACTGCCTTTAGTGTTAGGTCTGTCTAGGGTGTCTTTTAAAATTTGAAAGAAACATATTCAATAATGAGTCTCTCTGCCAGACAACATGATTTGTTTTACACTTTGTTCTATTTTTAAATATCCTAATGGGATTATATATTTAAAAAACTTAAATCAAGCCCCTGCCTAATTACCCAATTGAAAGAAATAATAATTTATTGTTTGCCTTTTTATCAACATTAAATCTCCCAAAAGTTATTTAATACAAGTGTTTTTTTAACCTCTGGAACACTACACACACCAATTTCTACTCCTCTAAAGATTTTGAATTTGATATTTATACAAAATATATTTTAAAAACTCTTACCCATATTGCAAGCTTAGCCTTATTTCCATCCACTGAAATTGTTTTCACCTTAAAGTCAACACCTTGAAGAAATAAAAATTTTGATAAGAATCTCAGTAAAATATATTTTAAACTCAATTACTAAGAAAATAAAAAAACAGAAATGCCACTTTATCAAATTCACACTCTAAATTCTGAGTTATGAATGTGAAGATAAAAGAAAATGTGTCACTGAATTTCAGCAGCTTAGGATTTTAATATGGATATGTGAAAATAAAATGCTTGTAGAATTTAAACACCTACTTGAACAACTTGAAAAAAAATTATCAAAAAAAAAAAAATAACCAATGTAAGACAATAACTGATTATTGTCACAAGCCAAGAGCTAGAATTCACAGTGCCACAGTAGGGAAGACTATCCATGTCTGACTGTGGATAGGGAGAGTTTTCAGGGGGCTTACTGAGCATCTACAGGCTATTAATTACCAAAAGTGTTGTCCACAGGTGGCCAACCCCCCAACTCAGCTCCTGACTATAAGCAGTTTGGAGAACTGGTAAATACAAAAGGGTCATTCACTTCTTGTCATATAAATTCTTTATTTGTTTTCATCCTAAAAAAGAGAATATTTTTATAATTTCATCAATGACCACTTGCTCCTGCAAAATTTCAAAAGGAGAATTTACATACAAAAACATTTGTACTCAAATCTCAGAATCAACAATCTTCAGAAGTGAAAGGGGGTGCTCCAAGTTCTGTGACAATCTCCTATAAGTACTAATTTATGTAAAGAAAAGAGTTTTGTAAGAAGTTACATAAGGCTTTACTATAGCAGCCCTCACAAAAACTCTCCCTTTCCATAAAAAGGAGTTGACATACACCATCTGGCTTAAAGGAACAGTAACTGCTTACATGTCTCTAGAGAGTATTAAAAAATACTATGCAGTCTACCCCACTGGCCAGAGTGAAAAACATTAGGTCAAGAAGTTTGGAAAGACTTTCAAAAGATCTCATTAGCTTGTCATAATTAATTCAGAACAGTCCCAACCACGATGAACAATACTCTTATATACTAAATGCTTAACATGGAAATACATTAGTAATTACTGGGCAGTTTCTGGTGATCCATTACATACACAAATGAGGCAATGAAAAAGCATTGTTAAACGTGCAATATGTCAGCTCTTTCTGTATGTTGAAGATAAAAAACAAAAAATGTTTGGTGTTTAGGGGTAGGGCAATAAAGGGGTTGATAAAGTCATGCCTTGAGTGAAGGGACCATTAGTGAAAGGATCATGCTGATTATACAGACCAAGGGAAATCTTAAAGTTTCTTCACAAACAAAAAAGGATCACAAATTAAATAATTTTGTATTCACCAGGTCCAGATAAAGATATAGTATGCCATATCATCTATATATAAATATAAAATTATATTTTATTCATGTGGTGCTTAAGAAAACCAAAACCTAAGAAAAGGCAGAAATTGCATGTGCTGACTGACAGATACTGCTGGGCATTACACAGAAGTAGTAGTTAAATTCTCAAAGTTTATCAGCGAGTGTAAGTTGTTGTTTTTTTTAATAGCTGAGCATGCCCAATCATCGGTATACCCATGAAAAGGAACTGTTTCTAGAATGTTTGTGTTTCCCATCCCTTCCCCAATCTTCTCTTTCTTCTTTTTTAGATTCCTACTTTCGCATGTTCATTGACAGTCTAATGACTGTCTCTCTCACATGTGTAATTTGCATGTCAATAACTACTTCCAAGTTACCTTCTGAGTTCATAGATCTGAAAACTGCAGATACCACCCTCAGGAAATACTGGAGAAAATGTGGTATAAATTTATAAAGAGAGAGTATTCAGTGATAAGAAAATTCTGCCATTTATAACAGCGTGGATGGATCTTGAAGGTAATATGCTAAGTGAAGTAAGTCGGACAGAAAAGACAAATACTATGTGATCTCACTTAAATGTGGAATCTTAAACAAAACAAGTTCACAGATATGGAGAACAGACTGGTGATTGTCTAAGGTGAGCAAAATAGGTGAAGAGACAAAAAGGTATACACTTAAAATTATACAATAAATGGGGATGTAATATAGCAAATCAACTAGTTACAGCACTGCATATTTAAAAGTTGCTAAGAGGATGCTAACAGGTTTGTAATCATTTCACAACATATACAAATATCAAATCATTATGTTCTATATCTGAAACTAATGTCAATTATACCTCAATTAAATATATGTAACACCAGGATTTTAAAATTTCAAATCTAAATTTGCAGTGACATCAATTAAATGTAAGATATCTATCACATATAATTAAATTGGTGCCTTGGGGGCACCATAATTATATGAACTGTTGTTCTGAGAACAGATGAAACCAAGAATCTAGAGGTTAGTAGGAGAGATAAAGAAACTAATCTATTCTCAGCAAACTAGAAAAAGGGAAGGTCCTCAACCTGATAAAGAGCATCTATGAAAAATATAAAGCTAATCTCATACTTAACGGTAATAGACTGAATGTTTCCCCTTAATGTCAGGAACTAAACAAGGACTTCAGTTATGACCACTTCTGTTCAATGTTATACTGGAGATTTTTAGCTAAGGCAGTGAAACAAGAAATAAAAGGCATCCAGACTGAAAAGGAAGGTAGAAACCCAATGGAAGCTACAGGGAAGAAAAAGCTCCTAGAACTAGAAACAAGTTTAGCAAGGAGGATACAAAATAAACATTTAAGAAATCAGCTGTATTTCTCTATATTAGCAATGAACAAAAGGAAATTGAAAAGTTTTAAATACTATTTATATGAAAATCTATTAAATACTTGGGTCTGAATTTCATGAGATGTGAAAGACTGTAACTAAGTCAACCAACATGACAATGCTATCTAATGTTAGTTGAAATTAATCAACCCAACACTAAAATCTTAATAAACAGATGAAAAACAGATTCTGATGGTGGAAAAGTGAAGATGCCAGACTCTCTTTCTCCGCATATTTACAACCAAATTACATGTAAATAAAGATATAGATTCCTGGAAGATGACCAGATCATCACTACACACGAAGAAGGACAAAACAGCCCAGGCTAGGAAGAACTGCAGTTTGTGTTTGGAATGTTACCTGAGCAGCATGAGCCAAGAAAAGGAGGGGCAGCTGGGATACAGAGCCTCTCTGGTGATGACTGAAGGACTCATGCTCACTGCAGGGACTTTAGAACCATTTTTGGTGAACCTTTTAGCCGGGCTAACAAAGAAGAAAGCAAACTATAATAAACAGAAATGAAAGAGGACAAAATATTATAGATAATGTAGAAACATATAGGATCATCAGAGATTACTATGAACAACTATAACAAATCTTGATAGTCTTGAAGAAATGGGTAAGTTTTAAGAACAACAGTTTACTAAGACTGAACAAAGAAGAAACAGAAAATTTGAATAGAAAGAAATCAAAATGGTAGTCAAACAACTTCCCCAAAACAAGTCATATATTATTCCATAATTCTGATAAAGAATATGTTTTTTGTGGTAACAAAACAAGCAGTTAGAATGATTCCTTCAGTCCCTGGGAAACTCTAATGGCAACTACCAATGAATAATGGTGATTGTTCCTGAGTCACAAACATGCAAAAAAAATTGCTGATAGCACTGATGAAGGAGGGTTTGGTAGTTACTGCTTTAGTTGGCAATATCTGCATTTAAGACAAAGGGACATTTCCTGCTAAGCCTTATTTTAAAAATTACAAAATTTATACAGAAGGCAGACTCACAGAGGCTATAATGCTGATGACTTAAGTAACTTGCCCATGAAATGGGTGCAGTTTTTAGAAGATATTCAAATATCATTTTGCTCTAAAACTAAATGCCTCTACTTTTCACGGTGTTCCCATTCTTCAGTAAAAAACTTGAGCAGCTTTATAGTTCTGCTATAAAAAAAAAAAACAAACAAAAAAAACCCACTCCTGTTAACAAACCAAAAATGTAAAACGAAACCAAGAGTGGACGCAGTTTTTTACAGTTAACTATAACTGGAAGTGTAGTAAGTGTTCAAGCAGGGCACGTAATCTTAAAACTACATTTGAGTATTGGCAGAGACCGTACTTTAAAGTCTCTCCAGGGGTCCCTGCATTACTGTGGTCCTGACTGGACTAGCAGCTATTCCTGGCAGCCATGGATTTACAGGTCCCTGGTCACTGCTTCCACCAGTACATGAAAACTGGCATCCCTTGATTCAGAACCAATTTGAATTCTGTTTCCCACTGGCCTGAATGTACCTGTGCAAGTTACTATTCATAGAATTACTCTCCTATTCATTGTGTGCCCCTCTGTTCTTTTGTCCTGATCATCTGGGATGGGTTCACTAAAATTTGGTTACTTCTGAATAAACCATATAAAATTCCCCACTTTTTTTAAGTTCATCACCCACCTCTTCCAGTATAAGTGTCAGACATCCTTTCCACATGAATGCATACCTTCCAGTCAACTAAATACCACTGACTGTGTAAGAACTCTTTTCACCTCTCAAACACTTTTATAGATTTTTAAGCAATGTTCACATTTATTTTTCTCCTACCATCAGCCCTTATATCCCTCTTTGGCCCTTTCTCCCTCCCAATTGCACACACCAGTTTGGTTATCAATGCCTGCTAATATATAATTATTTTACTTTCTTAGTTCATCTGCTTCCTTCATCATATTATTAATGTATGTGAAATTGTCCAATATCTTTATCTTTCTGAATTACTGTGCTACACAGAATTCCTTCCAGCTCCTCAATTTTGCTGTAAATGGTAACATTTCATCTTCCTCATAGCTGAATAGATTCTCATTGTGAGTATATACCACATTTTCTTTATCCTGAGCTAAGTAATTTTCATCATTTCTCAGCAGCATTTTTTCTGTTGAGTATTCTTCATCTATTCTTTGCTTTTCTGTACCTTTCTTCCTTTTTGATTCTTGGATGGTGGTAGAGTCTTTAAGTTGGCCTTCGAAAGATGTGCAGTTTCCCTGGTCAACTAATTCGTAGGAGATTTATATAAAAGACCATAATGGCTCCCATTCTGGACCAGCAGCACTTTTTCTTGAGTCAGAGTTTTCCATAAGAATTATTGAGGTTGGTGGCACAAGGGGTTAAAGCACGGCACTATGAAGTAATCCGCAGCCTCTGCAGCATGAGTTCGATCCCCAGCCAGCCAGGGAGCAACCCACATGGCGCAGCAGACCTCTCCTGCTGCTCCCCTCAGCAGTGTACTTCAGTCAGTCTGCCTGTTCTGTTCCCCACTATGTCTCTAGTGTATCCTCTCACCCCACCCCAACTCTGGCCTGTACCCCAGCTCTTGTATGCATAAATAAATAAATCTTTAAAAAAAAAAAAGAATTATTTAGGTTCTTAACAGAGAACGGAAACAGGCAGTATTGAGATTTGTCAAAATACATGGTTATTTCCTCCCCTATTGCTGCAGGGACAGATAAATTTAATAATGGCTTGTGTGACCCCTTCTTTGGCTTCATCTCCCTAACTTCTCAGAATTAAACCAGGTACGTTAGCTTCAAGAAACACGTTTTGCTTTTGCAAATATTGGGCTTAAGTTGTGTACCTCAGGACATCCCGAAGCATCTCTTGCTAGCTGGCTATCAGGGGCAGCTGTGAATCCCTCTCACTGCTTTTTCCCACACGCAGCCTGCTTAACCTCTGTTTTCCCAGCTCGGGGTTTTTGCTGTCTTCTGAGTTTGTGAAATCAGGGGTTTGTGTTTTAGTTTTTTTCTCCTCAGTTTGTTGTTATTAGCTAACTACCAGAAAGTAAACAGAAGAAAATGTCAACTTTCTAGTACCATCTTCAAACCCCAAACACAGCCAACTCTCTTAAAAGGAACAAGATAGAAACCTATTACACCACTTAAAAATAAAGATGTGTTATCCTCACTATTTTACTTTGAAGTAAAATAATTTTCCATAAAACACTAATTTTCACACAGCCACTAATAACTACATTCAGTATTTAATAAATTAACAATTGAGTTAATTAAAAAACTTATGTGGATATTAGCTATAACCTAAGGCAGAAAATCTTGTACCTAAATGTAAAAATACTTTTCATATCCAGTCTATTTAAGGAACAAATTATGTATATTTTCATTGTAATTTCTTTTTAGACATAGCCTTTTTAGTAATAAGGACAACATAGGATGCGTCATTCTGCAAGTCCCAGAGTCCATTTGGGTCTGAAATGAAGACAGCTTTATATTACATGTAAGATTATTCCCTTAGCAAAATTTTAACTCTAGTCAAGTTTATTTTCGTGTCGGTTACTTAAACTTTCTACTCCTCCAAATTCATTACCAGGCATGTTCTGAGCAAAATAAATGTTTATTACTAGTTTACCAGTAGTTTTATCACTACTAATGTTAATATGTCTATAAAAGCTAAGCAATACCTAATAAAACTTAATAAACATTTGGAGGCACTGTGAGTTCACACAGACATAGAGAGAGACAAAAGAGAATTCTAAGTAAGAAGAATTCTCTCTTTAGAGAATTCTAAATAAGAAGTGAGGATGCTATGATAGAATCTAAAATATCACCATCTGAACACCACCATAGTTGATACTCCACAGTGGGGAAATCTGGCATACAACATGTTTAGTAACCAAAGTCCCATCACCAGAAATGGGACAAAGAGACACCATGTGCCTCCTGACAGGAAGTTCTGAAAAGCACTTTCGTTGAATTCCTGCCCAAAATGCTAACCTGAATCTAACCACGAGGACTCACTGGACAAATGTAAATGAAGGATAGTCTACAAAAATAACCGATCTGTATTCTTTAAAATGTCAAGGCCATGAAAGACAGAAAAAGCTTGAAGAACTATTCAGATTAAAAGAGACTACAGAGAAATGACAACTAAATTCAATGAATGTATGATCCTGGCCCAGAAACAATTCCTTTTCTTTTGCCATATAAGACATTAGTGGGACAAGTGATGAAACCTGCCTGTATACAGAACTGTATCCACATTCATCTAGGAGATACACATTAAAAATGTGGAGGTTAAAGATATCATGTCTGCAACTACTCTGAAACTATTTTAAGGAAATAAGAATATTTTGTGTGTATGTAGAGAATGACAGAGCAAATACGGCAAATATTAATATTTGGGAAATTTGAGTCAGATCAACTGGAATTCTCTTTCCTTTTTTTACAATTTTCCTCTAAGTATGACATTATTTAGTAATGAAAAGATACAACAAATGAAAAAATCAATTAAGAGAAACATTATGTTTCTTAGTAATGTTAAAGATATCTTTACTACATTTACTCCTCATAACATTTAGAGCTAGAAGCAAGTTTATGGTCACTCACCAAAACCTCTCAGTTTACAAATAGAGACAATAAAGTTAACTCACTTGTTCAAGATCACAACTAGTTCAAGGGAGAGCCCAGATAGCACCCTGCTCTGTCTCAGCTCTTTCAACTATTATAAGCTGTCCCTCGACACCTTTACATTGGTGTCTACTACCCAAACACAAAACACCTAAGTATTAGCTCAATCTTCACATGCATTCCATTAGACTAATGTGGGAAACCACTTTCAGGCAATCTAAATTTCACTGTTAGTCCAGTCCCTATGGAAAGCAATATGGAAGTTCCTTAGAAATTAAAAATAGATATAGCATATGATGCAGCAATTCCATTCCTTGGCATTTATTTTAAAATGCAAAAACCCTAATTCAAAGATATATATGTACACTCCTGTGTTCATTACCACACTATTTAAATAGCCAATTATGGAAACATACTAAATACCCAAAAACAAATGAGTGGATCAAGAAGATGTGGTCTATGCACACAATGGGATACTACTCAGCTATAAAAACAAAAAAGATGAAGTCTCATCATTTGCAACGACACGGATCGAACTGAAAGGAATTATTCATGTTAAGTGAAATAAGTCAGAGGGGGGTCGAGAAATACCAGATGATTTGATACATATATGGAATATATGTTTTAGTATATATTTTGAAATACCACTGCAGAACTGAGGCTATAGAGGGGAAGAATGAGGTGTGGGAGACAAAGGGAAGAGGGGCCCAATGGTCTATAGTGAAGGACTAAGGGTGCTTTGCTGGTAGGTGTGGTGTGGCAACATACATCTGAAAAGCTGTGAACCTGTCCCCCTAAATCATACAATGGTTGTAAACCAACATTACCTCAACAAAAAATAAAATAAAATTTAAAAGTTAATCTTAAAAAAGGCATTTAGCACTCCTATGTTCACTGGAATACTATTTACAATAGCAAAGCTATGTACCTAAGTACCCAAATATAGATGAATGGATCAGGACGATGTGGCATACACATTCAATGGAATACTACTCAGCAATTAAAAAAAACAACCATAAACCCCTGCCATTTGCAACAACAGGAAGGGATTATTCCTAGTAAAGAAAGTCAGAAGGTGTGTCAGACAAATCCAGGAAATCTTACTGAGGAAGAGGGGATGGAGGGTGGGGGAGGAGAGTGGAGCAGGGGACAAAGTAGACAGCGAGTGCAATGGACTCCGGGGACTGACTTAGGTGCTTTGCTGATAGGTGTGGTGCAGCAACAACACCTGAAGGGAAAGATCTTGTATTTCTAAGACACAAACAACAATGTAAACCAGTATTATCTCAATTAAAAAAAAAAACAAACAAACATGGGGGGGAGGCATTTAGGTAAATCGCTCCTAACAATCCTTAATAACTAGTATTGGTGAATATGTGTCATAATACACATGAGACATTGCAGCAAATAGTAAAAAAAACAAAATTAACGCAATGTAGTTGGGTGATAACTGCCATCACATAACCCCACCTCTTACGATAGTGTTGGCATATAACAAATATTCAAATAATTGTATGTTGCTAAATAAAAGATAATTTATAGTACAGGAAAGAAATGTGCTGTGTGCACAGATAATCATAATATTAGTGATGTTAACAAAGTGCCATGAGACAACAGATACCAACGTTACTGCCTGGTGAGATGTGGAAAGGCTTCAGAAACCTTATGACACTAGAGCTAAGTTGTGAAAGGTAAGAAAAACTGTAAGAGACAGGGAAGTAAGAGTGTGGATAGTATTTTGAGGGAAATGAAATAAAACAGCCTGAAGTTAAGAAAATATTTGGCATTTCTATTGAATTTTAAACATAGGCTTACCTATTGTTGCTGCAAGTTCTGGATCAAAAGTATCATCCGTGAACCTCAAGAGCAGGCTAAAAGAGATGTTAAAAAGACAGATTAGGAATTTGACTTTTCTTTCTAATCCTTTGATAAAAGTGATCATCATTGCTATTTTTTGTAACAAATTAGATGCCAATAAGCAGCTGATTTAGGTCTGCTCTCAGAAATACTGTCTTGTACATACTGCAGGTACATACAGAGAAATTAAATTACGTAAAGGCATTTAAAGAATCCCAAGAGCAAAGTAGTTTACTAGAAAATATATTCCCCATGCTCTCCTACACAATTCCCCAAGTATGAAAAGGCTTGTGGGTTTTGTTTTTTTGAATTGTAATGATATATCCTTCTAAGGAAAATGATATTCACATGTCATGCTTTATTTAGCAAAGGACAAAAGGGTTGGAAAAATAAGTCTCTTAGAATAAAACAAGCTAATTTTCTTTAAAAAGTATGATCCACTCTGAATTCAAGTGAAAAATGGAAGATGGAAAAGTCTAGTGTTTATAACAACTAATATAACTTCTAGCTAAGTAAGAAGAAAATTTATAGAAAAAGTGGGGGCATAAAGATCGCGAGGCCCAGAGTAGATACACTCTGGCAAATGCTAGGTAGGAGACAGAAAATCAAGCAGGCAATAGAAAGTTTGAAGGCTTTTAAAGAAAGCAATGACAAGAACTGCTATACATTTTTAAAAGTTAATGTCAGTTAAAACAAAGCAATAAGCATGGTTAGCATGAGCATTTACAAAGGATTAAACCTAGGAAAGCATGAAGATACTAGAAATGAAGGGATGAAATGCAAGCAGCAGACACCAGTTTAGAAGAGTACTCTTAAGATTTATTCAAAACTCTTCAAAAATATCTAAGCTTTTCTTAAAGTCCAAGATTTATCAAATAATTCAATCTCCCCTATATTATCTCCTAAAGTAGGACAAGACTATTGTATTGACCTATTTGTATTAATAAAATCAAGGCAATCGCCATCGGATATCTGAATTACAGAAAAAAGTATGACTATTTCTACAGGTTGTAATTACTGCTGCTAGAGACTGTTTTCGCCCACAGAGTATACTGCAGAATTCCCTATTGCTTCTCAGTAGTTTCCAAACCCACTGTCGTTAATTGTATTTCTTGACTTTGCTTTAAGTGTTTACCATAAAACCAGCACAGCAAAAGCAAAGCAAAACAAGAATCAAATTGTAGAATTTCTTACCTAACATTGAACCTTCTTGACTATTAATTACTTTAACTTAGGTCCAATAGGAGTTATGAGACAGCACTAATAAGAATCTTAAGACTATTTATAAAAACTTTCTTCTCTCTCCAACATTAAACTTCAAATTAACAAAGGTGAAGATTGACTAAAAATTTCAATTACCCTAAATTTAAAAACAAAAAAGGTATATATCTGTATCTGGTCAGCACAGAAAATGTTATACAAACATAAGTTAACATAACTTGTAGAGTGACAGTAGTAACAACGATGCCATAAGACAATGTCCAATTACTTATTGGGCATTGACAACTAGGGAATTTTCTTACATAATTGCTAATTCTTAGACAATCTATGTTATTAACGGTCCTTAGGAAAGGAAGGGAATTGGTATGGTGCAGAGCAAGAAATTTGAATACAGGCTCTGAGGATAAGTCAGCAGATCTCAGCTAGGAGGACAGTGGTAGCTTGAAAAGTATCCTAAATTCTTTACACACATTTCCCTAAGCAGAGTACATTTCTTCATTGGATTTTGAAAGGAATTCAAAACCCTAAAAATGATTAAGAACAAATACTTTATAATGGGTGTATATTTAGGCCTTCATATTTTCAAGGCAAAATACTCTCCAAGCAGAGCTGCAGATGGAAGTAGCACCACCATTTCACTTAGAGAAGATCAAATTTCTAATAAATAGACTGCAATTATAACGAATCCATATTTCTTAAGTAAGGTATGAAATTGGCCAAAAGGAAAGGGGATTAAAAAGGACATTGGAGGGAAAGCAATTTAGATAATAGGTTTCTCTAACCCCTTCTGAAACACTTTGCTACTTCAGTTCACTATGCCTTGCCACAGAATCAAAGAATTTTACATATTTAACATCAGATAGGGTTTGAAAGATTTCTATTCTACCCTCATTTGTCAAAGTGAAAAATGAAGGCCTTCAGTGTTCACATAAGGTCACATAAATGGAAGCATTAATTTCAAAATCCTGATCTCACACGTAGTTTATTCTCCAACAGTCTGAAATTAGCTTGAAAAATAACCCACAAATTTGAATTAAAGACCCTTGTGCAATGATTTTTCAACAGCAAGTGATCTCTCAATGCCACTAACTCTAGATCTGAAAAAAAAAAAAAAAAAAAAAACAGAAACCAACTATTGGCTAGAACCCTTTCAGATTATATCCATGACCTATGTTTTTATACTAACTCACTTTAAAAAGCATATATTTCTATTTTAGTGGAATTATTTATTCTCATCTTACCCAAAGAGATAAGTATCGAAGTTTTTGTTTTCCACAGCATATCACAAATGTTTATCTAGCTAGAAAAATAAGACAACTTTTTCACAAATGCCATCCTTTCTTGAAAGAGGTATTAAAGGTGTTCAACTACTGCAGTGAGCATCTGACAACTCACTACTAAGTATGGAGGAAAAGTTTAGAACAGATTAGATCCACATACCTTTGAGGCAGGGGAACTAAGAACAAGAAATCACTTAGAAGACTGTGGTGTGGTGGAAGAACCTCAATTAAATCAACACTATACTTCCAGATAATCTTCAAAAAACCTCTAGCAGAGCCTTCCTAGGCAGTGATCCCCCCAATACATTTAGAAAAAGTGCCCTGCCATTTACTGGATTGAATCACATGAAATGATTTTCATCTTGATTTCAGATTTAGCAATATTATATAATATGATAAGCCTTAACCTAAATGAGACACATCTCAAGAAACAAAGGTCACAAAGCTACGGAGTTCTTATTGAGATAATGCCAGTATATACCTTTTAAACCGTCAAAACGAATGGTGATCATTCTATCTAGCCCTTTCTCTTTCCCTCCCACCCTCCTCCACCCCCCAACACCCTTTACTTTCCCTAACCCAGTGTTCCATGACTGCAATCCTTGTTGAACACAAATCCTTCACTACGGTGCAGAGGACATTAAAGGAGAAATATGAGAATAGATTACCATACTTAAAAAATATATAAACCTTCAGAACATATTAGAGATTAAGATTTCAAATCCTTAAGTCTCTAAAAATCCTTAACTAGGAAGCGATTAAGAAAGTGACTTGACATATAAGCGTATCAGGAGCGAAAACAGGAAATATGGTGAGGATAAATTCACCCGGGGAACTGCTCCACAGACCTGGACGAAATCAGGACGCTCTTCCTACACCGCGAGCTCCATGTCTCCGCCACACACTCAAGTCTAACTATTGTCAGTATCACTCCCCTCGCGCCAAGAAAGAAAAAACAACACTCTGTTATCTTCTGTGCTGCGGCAGAATGGAGCCATCATTTGTCAAGGTGGCTCACAGCTTCAGCAAAACTATCTCAGAGCACAGGGAGTGACTCAAGCAGCTGGAAGGCCAAAGAGATCTTTCAGGGCTGACTCATGAAACACGACAGCAGTAGCCGGGGCGGGCGTTGCAGCGCGGCCAGGACGGCGACCTGCGGCGTCACCAGACTTCCCTGCGCGTCACGTCGTTAGAGAAAGTCCAACCTGAATCCCGAAGTGATAAAGTCCCGACTCCAGCTCGCCGGGGCACAAGCGGCCTGAGCCCGGGGCGCGGCCTCGCCCAGGCGAGCCTCGGGACCCAGCGCGGCCCCGGCGCCCAGGCCTCGCGCGGCGGGCGGCAGCCGCGGGCGCTCTCGCCACAACGGGGGCGCAAGACCCGCCGCTCGGGCCGGCGCGGGCCGGCGGGGGCTGCGGGCGCGGGGCGGGGCGGGCAGGGCGGGCAGCGAGGCCGCGGGAGCCGGGGCCGCCGGGCCGCGAGGCGGAGGGGCCCGCGGCGCACAAGCGGGGACCCCGCGCGGCCACTCGGGGCGCGCCGTTGACGGTTCCCGGCCGGCCCGGGAGACGCTGCCACGGCGGCCCCGTCCGCCGGCCCCGTCACGACCGCGGGGCCGCCTCACCTGGACTTGCCGACGCCGCTCTCGCCGATGATGAGGATCTTCAGGGTGGTCAGCACGTCCTCGTCCATCCTGACGCTGCTCCGCTCCAGCCCAGCTGGCCGCCCGGTCCGGCTCTCACCCCTTCACCCCAAGAACTGCCCGCGCATGCGCACCGCTCCGCGCTGCCACCACCTTTTCACACCGGGTGTGTTGGTCCCGAGAGCAGGGGACGCCCCAGTTCCGCCTGGAGGTTGCTCTGCGACTGCGCCAACCCAGAGTTCCAGGCGGCTTCCCCGAGAGGTTAGTCCTCTCGTGCGCAAGCGCAGACCCGGCGGGCGGAAGTGTGTGACCTCACCCGCCTGCGCACTTCCTCCTTCCGGCCCTGGCCTCCGTCGGCCTTGGTTGTGCAGTTGGCGAAGGGAAGGGGTTGAGCCAGGGGAGTGTAACGCTTTTTTGGTTTAGTTGCTGCTCATAACAGCTGTGCGGCGTGGGGAAGCACTGTGCGAAAAGGCAAATTACGGTAAAAGTAGGTCCCAACTCTACCACATGGCCAGCTAATTTATCTCGCCTTCTGATCCTGTTAGCTCGGCTCAGAAATGGAGGCCATCGTATGTCTTAGAATAATACCAGCTTCTTGGATTGCTATGAAGAGTAAGTGAGATCGTTTATGAACACACTTTGTAAACGCAAGTAAACCATGTAAGTGTGACCAGGTATGAATTTCCTGATTTACCCTCCTTTAATGAAGAATTCCCTTCCTACATCTGTACCTCTTGAAAGGGAATTGTAGACGCTGTACAGATCTGGTGCATAAAAACTTAATGGTGGTGCAATTTCAAACCAGCTATTTCTGTTCATAAAAACTACACAACTACAGGAATCGTGTTCATGTGCTTTCTTTCCTTCACTAAGTTTTAAATCTTATTGAAAGTCCCAAATCTCATGTGGAAATGAAAGCTAATGAAATGCTTGGTACTTAGCACACTAAACAGTTCTTTCATCTTCTTACACTTGCAGCTAATGCCAGATACAATAGATTTGATTACAGAAGAAATAGGGGGAAAATTAAACAATTTTTTTTTGTTAAAATCTGGGAAAGCACTTTTGCCATATATCCAATTGGTTCCTTCACTTCCTTCAGGTCTTTACTCAAATAATGCCTCCCCAAGGAGGCCTTCCTTTGTCCTGTGCACAGCTTTCCAGCCTTCCCTATACCTCTTCACATTATTTTTCTGCATAGAATTTGCCATCTTTATATATGTATATATAATTACTTTATTTATTCACTGTCTAATCTTCCCCAAAGAGAAGAGAAAGAGCCGTTGTGTCTAGTTCCTGGTATATCATGTAAAATTATACTAAATGTTTGGTGAATGAACTGAGTGAACATTCTAGACGCCGTTCCCAATTTTGAAAAGTAATATCAACCAGACAACCTCTCATAAAATCATCTTTGAAATCTCAATCGGTCTATTCCAGTCTGCTCCTGGCTGTGGCATCAAGAATGTATTTCTGAGATTCTCAGTATATATCAAACTCTCCTGCTGTGGGGCAGTGATTCTAAAAGTGTAGTCCCCCAATCTGAGGGGAGCCATTTCTGGGGATCTGCAAGATCCAACTCTTCATAAATATTTAAGATGTTATTGAGTTTTTGGTTTTTTTTTCACTCTTATTGTTTTGTGATGCCACAAAACCAAATGGGAGTTTTCCAAAGGCTGCATAAACTGTGATAGCAAAACAGAATGCTGGTAGAACCAGGTAGGGTAATTCAGCTTTTTTCTATTAAGCCAGACATTAAAGAGATTTGGAAAAAAGCGCATACTTTTAAAAAATAATGTTACTCTTATCACTAATTTTTGTATTAAAATAGTTATTTTCATAAACATTAACTAGTAATACACTTGTTATTTTTAAGTGAATGAATACATGTCTAAAATTTCTCTAATTTTTGATTTCCAATAGAATAAATATTGATAGCTGTAGCCATATAATCAGCTTTTTTGAGTTTTCAGTGATTTGTAAAAGTAGACAATACGTTATAGAACCAAAAAGTGTGAGATCTGATGCACTTTACTATTCACATAAAAATATAAATGAAAAAAATGGAAGCTTGTCAATATTAGTCCTGGATATTGGTACTCCATGTGATGTTTGTTGACCTACTTCAGCAATATCATTTCCTCCTATCTCTTCACCACCTTTGGGTTTTTTGCGAAATCTTCTTGCCCATCTTTTAAATATTGTTGTATTTTGGGTAGGCCAGCAGACACAACTGCCAAGCCCTTTCCACATGGGTGTGCCGGGATGGAGCACATCACTGACTGTGACCTTATTATGTTCTCCTCTGTACTTGCTATTTCTCCTTATTTCCCTCAAGAGAATGACAGTGCCACCCATTGAACTTTCCCTCGTTCCCCATGTTGAGTACTCGAAAGTACTCAACTTTTAAGGATGTCCCTTAAGCATCCCTGAAAAATTTTTTTTTAAGATTTATTTATGTATTCATACAAGAAATGGGATATTTCTTGTATTTCTTGTATGAATGGGATATTTCTTGTATGAGTAGGTGCCAGAGGTGAGAGCATTCACCAGAGACAGAGTGGGGAGCAGAACAGGCAGATGGACTGAAAAACATTGCTGAGGGGAGCAGCAGGCGAGACAGGAGAGGTCTGCTGCGCATATGCATCACCTCCCTGGCTGGGGATCGAATTCATGCTGCAGTGGCTGTGGATAGCTTCATAGCTTGCATCTTAACCCCTTGAGCCACCAGGGGTGGTCTTTATTATCACTACTGTGATTAGATCATCATCTTTTGGCTGAATGAGCTACCATACAGATTGCCCAGTATGGCGATCCTGCCTCCATTCTCCTCACCCCTCAGACTGTTCTCTATGCTGCAGCCAAAGTGCTGTTCCTAAAATGCAAACCCACCTGAGTCATCCCACCTTCCATAGGCTGCTCTCTGTCCTTAGAAGTGTTTGTTTAGTAGCATAGGCCCTAATTATTCCTCCTACCTAATCCCTTGCTAGCCAGTGCTTTCTACTTGGTGTTTTGGCAAATTAATTTCTTTTTATATTTTTAAGAACCATGTTGTCCTTGTCAGCAGGACATTGCACAGGCCATTCCTTCTGCCTGGAGCCCTCTTCAGTCTTCCATCCCCCATCAACCTCAGCACGTACTCATACACACTTTTCTCTGGGCAACTTCTACTCATCCTCTGTGTTCCAGCTTTTGGATCCCTTTCTCCTTGGTCAGCATTAAATGTTCCTATTACATGTTCTTATAACGTTCAATGCATCTGTTATGGTAGACATTCTAGTAGTAGTATTCTGTGTTCCCCAGAAAGAGACAATGGAAAGAAAAAAGTCAAATTCAGGCCATTGACTTTCCTGATTTTGTTTTTGTTACTTTCTCCAGGTGTCAGTGGTGAAGAGAAGAATATAAATGCTGCTTTCAGAAGTCACATGCTCTGACAGGCACAAACAGGAGCATTGTGACTCATGGCTTGTGCAGGACTGCTTATGGCCAAGTGTAACAGGCTTGTGTACTGGATTTCAGGTCCTACTAGTGAGAAGAGTCATATGGCATGCCTCTCTCACCCCGCCCCCAACTGTGTTGGCCTGCACTGAGCAGAAGTTCCAAAACAACACTCCACCTTCCAGCTATCTCTTTGCCTTCGTCAATGAGCACAGGCCCTTCAGTTTACATGCAAGGAGATGTTTCCTTCACTGTTTAGCTGTTTGGTGAAGCATTGGGAACTTGGGAGAGAGAAAGTCCTTAGTGGAAGACGCTTGTGTGCCCTTTGGCACCGTGGGTGGGATTTCAGTCCTAAGATGAGAAGGGTCACAAACTAGAGCAGCCAGTTTAAACTTTGTGGCTTAACACAAGCAACATTATCTCCAGGGCCCATGGGACAGTGTAGCCCAGACTTGGAACAGGACCTGTTATTGTTATTCTCCTTTTGATCCAAGACCTATTATAACTCACACAGTATCACTTCCTACCAAGCAATTCATTTTACAGCAAAAGAAATGTGGCAGTGGGCTCATGTTTGCCCTTGGTCCTCGCTGATTTCATCACCTCACGTATTGGGGAAGGCAGTCAAAATAATATACCTCCAGGGCCTCCCCGGTGGCGCAGCAGTTGAGCACTGGGTTGCGAAGCTGCCCGCAGCCTCTACAGTGCCAGTTCGATCCCCCGCCACCAGCGAGGGTCCCACATGGCGTGCAGACCTCTCTGCTCCCCTCAGCAGTGTATTTCGTCACTCTACCTGCTCTGCTCTCCCCTCTGGCTCTGGTGAATTCTCTCACCCTCCCGCACTTCTGACTGTACCCAGTGCTTGTATAAATAAATAAATCTTTAAAAAAAATATATATACCTCCAAAGTGACCCTGAAGCTGGAACTAGGCTCCATAAGGCTACTTAGCCACCTCCCCTGGTGCGTGAGTTCCCAGAATCTGCTCCAAGGGTTCAGCCTCAAAGTGTTAGCATGAAACCAAGGGGAACCTAGGGACCCCAAACTATTAAGTGCTGCCTGCTCTGAAAGTCATCAGACCATCTACACACACAAAGATAAAATAAACATACTCTTAGTGTGAAAGATCTTTTATAGAATTAGTGTGCATAAAGAAGAGAGGAATGGGTATTCCCGATAATAGTTTCCCAATAAAATGAAAACTCTTAGTTTTCCCTATGTAAGAATGCATTTCTTCCACCTTCAGTTCTGAAGGATATTTCTCTCAGCTATACAGTTTTGAATTGATAGCTCTTTATTTTTAGCACTTGAACATTTTCTTCCTTCTTTCTGCCTTCCATGGTTTCTGATGAGAAAATCATAGTCATGTGAATCATTGTTTCTCTATGAACAATGAGTCATTGTCATTTTCCTCTGGTTGCTTTCAAGATTTTCCTTTGTCTTTAGTTTTATATGTGTGTGTATGTGTGTGTGTGTGTGTGTATATATATATATATACACACACACACACACACACTGTGGGAATGGATTTTCTTGGAATTATCCCATTCAGGATTTGCTCCATTTTTTTAAAAGTTGTAGATGTATGTCTTTTGCCAAATTTCTTAATATTTAACCATTTTTTAAGAAGAATTTTTCAGCATCACTCTCAGGATTTTTATGAAATGAATGTTAGGCTTTTTTCCTATTATCCCAAAGTTTCCTGAGATTTATGTTCTTTTTCTCTCTTATCTTTTCTCTGTTGTTTGAATTGGATAATTTCTATTGATCTATCTTTACATTTTCTGGATCT